CTGATTTTGATTTTGCTCTTTTCCTCCCAGACTTGTCTGGCCATTTCTGACCCTTTTCCATGGGTCCCGGCCAGAAGGTGCTTTAGTCTAGTGGCAGCTTTCAGGCCTTGCTTTGGGCTAATCCCTTTTGGGTTGACTTTTGCCCACGGGATGGAAAACTTTAGGTGTTTGATTTAGAAATTATATTCTTTGTGTTCCGTATTGTATACTCACTGTATTAAAGTCCCTTTTCATTAAAATTTTATATGTTTTGTCTTGATGCAGCAGATGGCAGAACCCACTTAGAGCAGGCAGGTTTGGGCTTCAGGGGTGCCCCTCTCTCCCTGTCCTGTAACAAATATTCCTTTCCCAACTTAACTTAGTGATTCCCTGGATCAAACTTCCTGGAAGCTAACACCCAGTGGAATGTCTGCCCTATAGTCGGTATCGATAATCTTTGTGGAATAAAGTCCCCATGAGTTTCAAGAACCCAGCCCTTGGGAGGCACAGGTCACAGTCCCCACCTTTGCAAACCACCTTTGCTCCCTGCTCTAGAGATCTTTGCAGCAGCCAGTGGCTAGGTTAATAAAACCTGGACATGTTTATGGAAAATCCAGATAAGCCCAAAGGAGACACATTCCTCAGACATGTATCTGTAGCAAAAGCTAATTATTTAAATTACAAGAGAATTTGCCCCAGGTCTCCCTTAAGCAGTAAGTGATCACAAGGCAACTGCAATCTAATTTACCGGAAATATGTCTAATGCTCACCAACTTTTGCAGGACCGCCCTGACACTCTCTGTGCCTCTACTTAGGCTCTCCTTGATTCCTGGACACGCCGATGTGCCAGGCATAGGCTGGGTATTCAGTACCAATGTATGGAAATGGTTGAACTAAGGGTACTCCAGCAAGAAGCAGGAGACTGAGCGGACCTTCGAAGGCTTGCTGAAGAAGGAGGAAGAGCTGGAGTTGCCCAAAATAATCAAATGAGTACAGGGCAGAAAATCCTGACCGTTTCCACAACTACGTGCTGGGATCCTCTGGGAGAAGCACAGGAGAGGTCCTTGAGGCCTCCTTGGTGAAAAGGAGTAGCCAGCAGCCAGCCTTGAATCCCTTCCAATTCCTGACCTACAGAAAAAGTGAGTTTATGAGTACACGGTTTACTTTAGAGCTGACAAATGGCTTTTCTTCAACTCTCCCTGATATATAGGGCACAGCAAGAGCCATGAACAATTCTTTGGGTGCAACGATGACTCCCCAGGACCACAGGATAGAAAGAAATTCTAACCACCAAGTCAAGAGAACACAAACCAGTAAAGAGGCGTCTGAGCTGGAGTGGCAGAGAGTAGCGAACCCAATGGCTCTGTATCTTTCCCGGGTGAGGACAGGGAGGCTGATCTACTCTTGGGAACACAAAGCTGGACCTGTGTTGTCGGGTGGGATTGGTGTGCACTGATTCTTTACTAGTCTTTCTTGGCAGCCTAAGACTTAAGGTTCACAAGGTGGGAGATATGCAAGATTTTTGTTTTAAAATGATATCAGCCCTCCCTGGTGGCACAGCAGGTTAAAGCACAGCACCGCAAGCTCGCGCAGCCGCTTCTGTGCAAGTTCGATCTCCAGCCAGGGACGTGACCCACATGGCACAGCAGACCTGTCCTGTCTCACCCCCTGCTCCCCTCAGCAGTGTACTTTGTCCATCTGCCTGTTCTGCTCCCCACTCTGTCTCTTGTGAGTCCTCTCACCACCCTTGCACCTCTGACCT